TGGAAGAGGGGATGGATGGATGGAGGGGTGGGTGGGGAAGGATGACTGAGGATGGTTGGAAGGATGGAGGGGTGGGTGGGGAAGGATGACTGGGGATGGTTGGAAGGATGGAGGGGTGGGAAGGATGGGGTGGGTGAGGATGGAGGACTGGGGATAGTTGGAAGGACGGAGGGGTGGGGGTGGATGAGGACGGAGGACTGGGGATAGTTGGAAGGACGGAGGCGTAGCTGGGGAAGGATTGAGCAGTTGCTGAGCTGTGGCTCACATGCCCATGTCCAGCACTGTGCAGGGGGCAGCTCAGGGTGCTGGACTGGCAGAGGTGCAGGAGCAGCTGAGCTGCTGGGCATGGGGAGCTTGCAGGGGGAGCCATCCCGTCTAGATTGGGCCCATTCTCTCTCTGGCCAGTGGAGCAGGAGTTGAGCTGGGCAGCCAGGTGCCCCCAGCCACTAGGGGAAGCCAGCACATACTGCTGGGACCTGCTGTAACACAAGGTGCATTTGGGGAGGGGGGTTCAGGAATGTGACCTGGCATCCCCAGGCAGGGCGGACTGAGAGGGCAGAGTGAGGGGGCAGGGATGGCTTAGACGGGTTTCCACCCTCCACCCCTACAGGATGGAATTGCTGGGATGGGAGATGGAGCATGGAAAATGCCATCAATGCCCCTTCCTCCTCAGGCTCTGGCCCCCAGCACCAGCAGAGCTGAACTCCCCAGCTACACAACTGTAGGGGAAGCATATTTGATGCCATCTCCATCCTGGGCAGGGAGGCAGAGCAGGGTGCCGGGGGTGGGCTGTGGGGTGCTGATCGGGAGGATACACAGCTCATAGTGTTGCCTGGCATGAGATGGGCTTGGGAGCAGTGCACTTCCTTATTGGGCACTTGTACCCAGAAGGGCTATTTCCTAGATCCTGGCTGGGCACTGCTGTGGGGAAGCTCACAGCACTGGAGTCCTTGGCTGGGCACTGCTGAGGGGAAGCTCACAGTGCTGGAGTTCCTGACTGGGCACTGCTGTGGGAAAGCTCGCAGCACTGGAATCCCTGTCTGGGCACTGCTGTGGGAAAGTTCACAGAGCCAAGAGGCTCTCCCTCCCAGCAGGGAGCTCCATGCAGCAGACTACCTCCCAGCAGGCACAGAGGGGGCTATGGCGGGTGAGGCCGTGACGCGGGCAGGGGATTAGCGGAGTGTGCTGCGATGGGAACTGTGTGTGAAATGCCAGGATTAATCCTTCATGCACAGGCCCCAGAGCCGCACTCCCCATCTGGCGCCTGACCGGCATGGGCGTGTGTGTGTCTCCCGAATCCTCCCCCAACTCGCCCCTTTGCAGGCACCCCACATGGGAACGTGTGAGCGTCATGCTCAGATAGTCACAAAGGGGCATCAGAAATAGCAGAGAGGAGAATGGATGAGATGAGGATGTGTGGGGATTCATGGATGGATAGATACAGAGAGGTGTCTATGGGGAGCTGTGTATAGTTGGGGATGGAGAGATGGAGGGAGGGATGTGGTGCGGATGGATAGATACATAGAGAGGTGTCTATGGGGAGCTGTGTATAGTTGGGGATGGAGAGATGGAGGGAGGGATGTGGTGCGGATGGATAGATACATAGAGAGGTGTCTATGGAGAGCTGTGTATGGTTGGGGATGGAGAGATGGAGAGAGGGGTGTGGTGCAGATGGATAGATACACAGAGAGGCGTCTATGGGAAGCTGTGTACGGTTGGGGATGGAGAGATGGAGGGAGGGGTGTGGTGCGGATGGATAGATACATAGGGAGGTGTCTATGGGGAGCTGTGTATAGTTGGGGATGGAGAGATGGAGGGAGGGGTGTGGTGCAGATGGATAGATACACAGAGAGGCGTCTATGGGGAGCTGTGTATGGTTGGGGATGGAGGGAGGGGTGGATAGATACATAGAGAGGTGTCTGTGGGGAGCTGTGTGTGGTTGGGGATGGAGAGATGGAGGGAGGGGATGTGTGGGGAGGGAGGGGTACAGTGCGGATGGATGGATATAAGAACACACAGACGGATGTAGAAGGGAATTCAGGGGAGCACAGGAGCCCTTGGGGTTCTGATATCTGCTGCCCTGACACTGGGGCTTTTGGATGCCCGGTGGGTTTAGCTGTTTTCTGGGGAGGGTGGAGCAGTCTGGAACCATGGCTAATGATCATTGGGGTGGCTCACCTGCCTCCACCCCTCCCAAATCCACCCAGCACAGCTCTCACTTGGCACTCCCAGTGCTCCATTCAGATGGGGGGATTGAGCCCAGAGCACTGGCTGTGTAGAGGCTTGGCTAAGCAACTGCCTCTGTGTGTGTGTGGGGGGCTGCCCCCCTCAACTCTCTGATCCCCATCCTGGCAACACTGGCCCCTATGGTCTCTGCTCCTGCTAGTGGGGTCTGGATATGTGCCTGGCAGTCTTCCTCTCCCAGTGTCGGCCCCTGGCCCCAGCTCACAGGGATGGGGTGCCTGGCATGGCATTGCAGTGAGGAAGCACTTCCAACTTTCCAACCATCCCCAGTACCGGAGTCCCTCCTGGACACTGCTGCAGAGAAGCTTGCAGCATTGGGATCCCAGCTGGTTCAGAGGGGCTGCTGCAGCTCCTGCTTCCACAGGGAGGGGCGGTGGGGACAGGAGAGGGCCCCGAGGCTCATCCCTGCTCCAAGAGCCCATGTGGTGACACTGGGTAGTGCAGGCTGGGAGCTGGAGGGCTCAGATGAATCCCATTTCCCCCTCCCCGTAGCAGTGGTGGGAACCCTCCAGGAAGGCTAATGGCACCGGGGCCATGGGCAGTGATTTATTGAAGGGAGGGGACAAGTGTGTGTGTGAGGTGTTCCCCATACAGCATCTGTGGCACCCAGTCCCCCTCATATAGTGTCCAGAGTGCCTGTCACTTCTGGGCGCTGTTCTCGCTGGGCCGGATGCGGTAGCGCTGTGTGAACTCGGCGTGTTTCTGGCGCAGGAGCTCCTGCTGCTTCTGGAAGCCATTGGCCCTGTGGGAGGAGAGGCGCAGGGGCCGGGTCACACTTGGGACAGTGATGCTCAGCATCATGCACTAACGTGTGAATGCACATGCTCTAACACGCACTGGTGCATCCATGCACATGTTAACGCAAGCTCAGGCACACACACTAAAGTGTGCATACCCTAGGACACTAACATGCTAGTTCATGGGGGCACACACTGTAACATGCTAACACCCACTACTGCATGGGGGCATGGTAACACGTGCTAATGCATGAAGCACACACTAACATGCAAACACATGCTAGAGCATGGGGGTACATGCTAGTGTACAGCTGCACCCATAGTCTAACACAAACAAATGCACACATTTGTGTTCACATGCCCAGTAACACGTGCTCTAGTGCACATGCCCATTCTCTAACACATTAGTTCAGATGCCCCAGGGCATGTGCACACTCCAACCCATGCTGGTGCACACACACCCCGTGTCGTCTGCGTATGTTCTAGCACACACGGACGCTAACACACTAATGCACCTGGTGTTGGACACTAACACACATTCATCCACACCCTTGTGAGTGCGCACACACACGCCTGCATTTCCACTCCCAGCCATTCAAGCTGATGGCCCATGGCTAGCGGCTCATCGCACCCCTTGCGATGGCTGGGGGCATGTGGGGTGGGGGAGAGGGGAATGCCCAGAGGGCACTGAGGGCCAGCAGGCAGTGAATGGAGGGAGAGATTCCTCCCGCTCCCCAGAGGTTGGTGGAAGCTGGCAAGGAGTAAACTGGGTGGGGGGCAACATTGGTGAACAGAGGGGAGGGATTCCCAGAAGGCAGAGGACACCCACATGAGGTGAAGGAGGGGGAAGGGATTTCCCAGAGGGTGAGGGGCAGCATGGGGTCAATGTGGAGGAAGACTCCCCAGACGATGGGGGCGGGCAGCATGGGGTGAACAGGGGTATTCCCAGAGAGCAGGGGGGCCCCAGCATGGGGTGAACATAGGGAGGGGTCCCCACAGGTTCTGGCAGCAGCACTTTATCCCAGCCCAACTGCCAAACCCTTTGGGAGAGGAAATCCTTGTCCCCAGGTATGGAGAGGGAAACTGAGGCAGGGGCTGGGGGAGCTGTGCAAACCTGGCCCGCTCCTTGGATTCATTGTAGATGCTGGTTATGAGCATGTCCTTCTTGTCCATGAAGCTGTTGTGCACCTCCTCCAGCTTCCTGCCG